CGTGGACTACAGCCCACTTCTTCGGATGCATCCGAAGAAGTGGGCTGTAGTCCACAAAAGCTTATGCTCTAATAAATTTGTTAGTCTCTAAGGTGCCACAAGTACTCCTGTTCTTTTTGCGGATACAGACTAACACGGCTGCTACTCTGAAACTTGTACAATAATGTTACCCATTTTAAGAGGACAATTTATACTGTTTTAAAATTAGTAATAAATAGTATTCCACAACCATTTCTGGTGAACTGTATAAAGACAAAACCAAAAATAAATAAATAAATAAACCCCACCACTTTCCACTTTTATATAAACACTTTCCACTGACATTTTGCTTTAAAAAAAAAAAAATACCCTCCACTGCTAGTGAAAACCTACTCGCTCTCCAAAATGAGAACTGCAGCAGTTAGAATCCCAACTTTTTATTTGCACAACACAATAAAAGAGTGCTGGTTTTATTGTGATAACTGTCTTCGCTATATAGCTCATAACCCCACCCTTAATCTCTGCCAGACAATTGCAGTTTTTGCAAGATGGCAGCAAGTTACAATTGATGAGAATCACATGCCCATTTCAACTCCTCTTTCAGTATTTTGAAGAGGACAAGCTGATTAAGTTTATTAACTAGGTAAATCAGAGAAGCTTTAAAACACAGAACATCTTACCAATTTCCCGATTAAGAATCTTTTCTTCTCTGTTGCCTACTGGTTCAATGACTTTTAAAAAAGGCTGAAAGAGCCGCAGGTCGCAAAGTCGCCGTGTTTCATCAAAAAATTCTTCTCTTTCAGCTTCTTGTGTAACACTTACGAAAATGTAAGAAGATTCATCTTGAAGGAGCTGATAAAGAGGGTATTTTCTTGCTTCTTTGAAGAGTTCATGCTTGATAGTCAGTAGTGTGGCCTCACGGAGGCATTCTAGAGTCACTATCATTCCATTAGGTAGAAGACACTCTACAAGGATCCTTGGTGGCATCAAATGGATGCCCCATAGTTCACCAGATGATGGTCTTGGAGGCATCTTCTTAATCTTTTGGTAAACTTACAACAGAAACCAGTTTAAGCACAGCTTCCTACAGGAGAGACCTAAATAAATGTAAAACATATTATAATGAAAGATATAAACCTCACAAATTAGAACTGATAGAGCAGCTTTATCTAGACTCTTATATAACCCCAACTGACATAGTATCTGAGCACTTCTGACATGAAATTGGGGTAGGACATACAAATTATTGCATTTTACCAAGGAGGGTGGGGGGAGGCAAACCCAAAGTTGTATGTCAAAGGAAGTTCTGGGGAAAATCCATATTTTTAATATGGATTAAATCCCTCAAATGGCACAATTAATAGCAACACAGATGTTATTCATACTTGTTGCAAACTTATAACAATATGCATATAGTGATTTGCAAAAAAAATAAAGTGGATTAATTTTTCCATTAAAAATGATTTGCACACTTATGCTTGAAACACATTTAAACAATTCTCGTAATTCCCCACTACATTACCCCCAATAATTAAAATGCTCACCTGTAAATTATAAATAGCTTAACCTCACAGATGACTATGCTTTACCATTTCAATTTGTATTAAAAATAGAAATTGGGAAGGTATGCAATTGTGCTAAATAATCACTTTCAGGTCTGCACACTGAATCTGTACAGTAATTTGCTACTGAAACATTTCCCAAATTCTCATCAGTGGTCTTGCCAACCCACATACACATCTCCAATCACTGACACACAAGGCTTTGAAGTTCTTCTATCTAACAGCTAAACGCTAGGTTTTGTCCTCTGCTAGGGAAAGACTAATTTGAAAGATAGGAGCTTCAATGTTCGCATGCAACACTCAATCAAGTCAATAGTCCCCATCCCAAATGTTCGGAAAGTAATGAGCTGGGATGCCAGTCAGGGTGCTGTCCCTCCATTCTGTTTGGTAGAAGTCTTTGGTTAATATGTGTCTAATAACCCCTCTATCCCAAATTCCCCATGGTTGCTGGAAGGGAGAAGGTACGCTCGTTCTCTTTCTACTCAGACCTCCTCCCTTCCACCCCAAAGCCTCCTGGCTGCTCTGAGGGTTGGTTAGAAAGTTTCTGCTATCCTATAGATCTCTCAGCTTTTCAGCTGCTGCAAGGAGCATATTTCCACTACTCTGCCCTCTTTTTTTTGTGTTGAAAACTGCCACTGTTCAGTTTTCTCAAGGAGCAGCAGAGTGAAAGTGACAATTCTTTTCAGTTTCACTGCAAGTCCACAAAATTCTGAATAGCAATAAGACTGTGATCAGCCTTCTCTGCTGCAGCTTTGGAAATTCTACAAATAGCAATATAAGCATTGGAACTCTCCATTGCAGTTTTAGTAAAATGCTACATTGATTTACAGTCTGTTCATGTTTAGAAGGTCCTTTATCACCATAAAGGCTAATTTTTCTTTTGTTTTTTTAATGAAAGCTTAGATTCTGCAGACGTTAAAAAAATTTCTCTATTTGACCCATAGGAAGGCAATGTAGATTTGGATATTTTAAGTTCTACATACATACACTCAGACCTATTGACTGCTCAACTAGATCGTAAATAAGAGTTTAATTTGAGATTTAAATTAAAATCATCTTCTGTATATGGTGTTAATAACAAAAGAGTAGGAGTGAAACTGAAATTATATAATCCTTTAAGCTGAGTATTTCAAAGAACTAAAGTAGGTAAAATGGGGATTCTTACAGATGGGGAAATAAGGTGCACATGGTTAAATAACTTGCCAAAGATATCAAAACAGGTCTTTGGCGGAGAGAGAGAGAGACCCTATGACTCAGTCAGTCCTTTGCTCTACTGACTATATATCATCTATTATTTTCTTTATTGTTTACATTAGCATCCCCATTCCACTGATTTTTAAAACAAAACTAAATGAGGCAAGGAAAATAACCCACAATTGTCTGTATTACTATGTTAACAAATCCATGTATTAATACACAATTACTGTAAATCTATTTAAACAAGCCTGATCTTGCAATTTTCTAGAAATCATATGCAGAAATCAAATTTTCTATATATTTTATTTTTTCATACACATGTCACAACTGCATTTATTATATCCATGTCTCCCTCTCTCCCATTCTTCAATGTCAAAAGCCATTATATAGAATGTATTTCAGTCTCTTATGACAAGAGATAACGATGCAGAAATTCTGATGTCCCAAAAGGATGGTGGAAAAATATATTATGAGAAAAGTGTCAAGCCAAAAAAAGAGAAGAAGTTGTACTTATTAATAGAAGGATACAAGCCAATCGTTTCTGGAAGTGTTTGTCGTACAACCAATGAAGAAATGACAGGCTGGCAACATTTTCCCCTTCACTGCTTTTGTTCCTAGTCAACCAAGACAAGAACAAGACTCCAGTCTACACTACCAAAATTATGGTTGTCTAACAAATGTATAGTTAAATCATATTCCAAAAAGTGTTTTGTGTGGTTTTTTTATTTTTATTACCACCAGTATGGTCAGGAGAGAGATATAGGGGAACCATGTCACAAACCTAGATATCTACCACTGTTAAAATTTGGGTCTCATGTTCAGAACGTTTTCTGTCCACATATGCAAAACAAGTGATAAACATGGCTGTGTCCAAATCATCCTAACCTCCATGATTAAGCCTGTTAATTTTTGTAGTGCAGACTGTGGCCTAGTTCTGTAACATTAGGCTGCTGAAAAGTGTATGCATTTTTAAAAAACTATTTAATTTTAGATTATAATATCAAACAATTCAGCAAGTCTTAGCAGACCCAAAATAATTTTTCAAAATAAAAAAGCCAATGATGTTTATGAAGTACAAATCTTAAAATAGTCAATGTGTTTGTTTTCTAAAAGAGTGTGTGTTGGCTGCAAACAGGCTAATGGGCAAGTCACTATTTTAGAACAATGACACTAAAACAGCGGCTTATGTTTCCTCTTCTGACAAAGTAGGGGCTAGAAGCGTATGCTGGAACTGTGCGCACATTAATTCTATGTGCACATTCACTCCACTTTTGCATGTAAAGATACCATCATGGTTTGTATTTGGAAAGTAAAAGGATTTCTGTTTACATTTTCAAAGTATAATTAGTGTTTTCGTCTTGTTTTGAGAAAACTGGAAGGCTGTCTGGAATAAAGTGAATCAATTCTGTTCTTAAACAGCTCAAGGAATATTACTGTAACAAATTATTTTGGAATAGATATTACATAGACAGAGATAAGGGCAGGGATGAGCACTTCCAAATCATGGTTACAATCACCCCTCCAGACCACAAGAATTTTGAGACACCATAAGTAGCCAGCAAGACCAAACTCACAGCCCCCTTATTGACTAAACTACCAACTCTTTGGGCTGGTCACAGTGTCTTCCTGAACTACCGTGTAATTGCATTCTCTTTTCCCAACCCCACTAACCACCTGTTGCAATTATTGCTAATGCACAACTATATTTTAGATTGTGACAAAAGAGTATGCATGTAACATATTTAACTTCTATCTTCATTCCTCTGCATATGGAGTAGTTAAAAAAAACAAACAAACAAAAAGCCACACACATGCTTTGCAGACCATTTTCCTATTTGGTTGGGTACATACCTTTTTCCCTACTAAGAGCTATGCTGTCTGAAGACATACAGTATTTGTCTAAATCAGTCATCTGTATCATCCACTTTCTGGTGAACAAGAAGTGACCGTAAAGAAGGCCCAAGATCAAGAGCAAAGCTTTCTAGCTTTTGCTGTCATACAGTAGAACCTCAGAGTTACAAACTGACTGGTCAACCACACACCTCATTTGGAACTGGAAGTACGTAATCAAGCAGCATTAGAGAAAAAAAGCATATACAAAACAGCATTGTATTAAACGTATACTAAAAAAGTAGAAAAATAAAGTTTAAAAAAAGATTTGACAAGGTAAGGAAGCTTTCTGTGCTTGTTTCATTTACATTAAGATGGTTAAAAGCAGCATTTTTCTTCTGCATAGTAAAGTTTCAAAGCTGTATTAAGTCACTGTTCAGTAGTAAACTTTTGAAAGAAAAATCATAACGTTTTGTTCAGTTACGTACATTTCAGAGTTATGAACAACCTCCATTCCCGAGGTGTTCATAACTCTGAGGTTCTACTGTATAAGACTAACCCTGATCTGGATAGATAAGGTAGTCTCATTTTCTCATGGCATTGCAATGAGGGCAGAATTAAGGTAGTTTGGCTACCTTAACTGAACTTCCATTCAATAAAACGTTTCATTATAAGCAGAGCTGGATGAAATTTTTCAACTGAAACTTTTTTTGGTGAAAATTGCAGATTTGGCAACACCAAAACATATTAATTCCTGTTAATTTTGCTGAACTGTTTTTTGTTGGGGGAGGGGTGGTTTTTTGGGGGGTGGGAGAAGAGAACCTAACCTCCCACCTGCCTAAACATTTCATTTTTCTATTCTGAACAACCTTTCATTTAGAAACGTATTTCAGTCTTCTTATAAAAAGTAAACATTAAAAAATGCTCAACATCTAAATGAAACATTTCATCTGACCAGAAAAAAATTTTTTTTTGCACTTTTCAGAATTGTCAGCAAATAGAAAAATCAGTTATTTGCCCGGCTTTAGTCATAAACAGCTGTATACAATTAGCCAAGGCTACTGGGCACACTACAGACCTGTCCTCGCTTACAGACAACCCCCCAACCTAAAGCACAAGTACTCCTGTTACTTTTGTCATGAACATTCATCTGAGGTCTTTACAAAGTTTAATGTTATTTTTTCCTCAACCACTTCTTTCCTGAAAGTAAGAATTCCTGCAGCAACCCACTCAAACTGTCATCATCCAGGAGAAGTGATCATCTGATCAGAAGAAGCCATAACTTTCTGAAACTTGCAGGAATCTCTGCCAAAAGATAAAATGCAGATAATATACTGGCTACCCGATTGCCATAGAACATTTAAACAAGCAATGGGGAACAAGATCAATAGTGGAGCTAGACAAATGTTGTCCAATTAAACATTGTTTCATCAGAAAATACCGATTTTGATGAAGAAAAATGCTTTGGTGAACCTATTACAGATTTGACCTAACTTTTGTCAATGAAA